ATATTAAATGGTCCTTTGCGACTCGCTTCCCGGGCATAAATTAATACGATAAAGTCGAGGAGTAACGCGTATCAGAGATGCACAGTCGACGAACTTGTCGCTGTGATCATCGTAACCCGTTTAGTAGTCGCAGAAAGTGCGAACTGATATAACGGCTGGAACGTAAACGAAGTCCACCCGTTCTAGAATCCCGCAAACTAGGATAAAACTGGCGGGAGTCGCTCGCTTTTTCGCGGGTCAGTGGATTCACCTCGATCCACCGTTAACGGATGCACAAAACCGTTTTTTTCAAAAAAGGAAACAAAAGAGAGCTTTCATACTTTCAGTGAGCGTAGTCACGCACGAATAACTATAACCCTGTTTTCGACGGATTTTTATCTGGGTACGAACGGACAGCGGAGCACCGAGCGATGGCAATCGTTTTACCGCGAGGTACTTGCATTTCGAATTACGCGACAGACGCGAGTACCGATGAACGGAGCACGAGACAAAGTTTCGACGATTTGAAAACGAATTTCTTTCACGCTCTGAACGTTTGTCACCGTTCGATCGGGCCGACGAGTAAAAGAATGCAAATCTGCCGACGTTTGCAAGAACGTGAACGTCGGAGCGTTTCGTATAAATGAAGTCGTTGCGAAACGGAAGTAGAGTTCAACAGTGGTTTCGAAACGCGACTTTCGTTCTGTTAAAAATTGAAGACACGATCGAATTTTAATTAATGCGCGATAGGTTTCACCCGCGTCGGATTTACTTTCGGCGTTGCAAATTAATTAATTCGTCGATGCGTTAAATGGCAATCGCGGAAGCGAACGTTCCGTTGCGAAAACGTATATGCTCCGGGTTCGATCGATTTTTGTTAAAACGATCACGTCCGCGGTTGCGATCCGTCGGACAAGGAACGCGTTAATTGCTACCGATAGAAAGTCACGGCTAACCGAGAATCTCTGCGCGACAGCCTCGACGATTTTCATTGAATCACGTTTTAGAATAAAGTAAAATGCCGCGCCTTCTAACATCGCTCGAATTCCCGGCATCGTCGCTGTTATACCCCCGGCAAACGTTCCCTTCGTTGAGCACGGTACACGTGTTTCGAACGTGTTTCAATGCACGCGCGATCGGATCATAAAATAATTAACGTGCACAACGATAAATCGATCTCATATCTTTACTTTTCGTGTGTCCCCATCCGGTGTCACTGCATCATGAAAAAGATCTTCGTCACGGGTAATGGAATAGATTAGAAAATTATTACGATCGTTTATATTCGTTTAATTAATTTTACGCACGAAGTTCTTTTACAGTACACCGCGTGCTTCGGAGCTCGTACTCCGTGGGCTATGAATTTTCGTTTAATAACGTGTAACAAATAGAAATTGTTCTCGTCGCGCGCAATTTGCTCAGGAAGCCCGACCCCCTAATAAATTTCGATGCGTTCCGTCAATGAAATCAGAAGACGCTCGATGGTTCCCGGTCAGACGTGAAGACTCAGACGATGAGAATCGTCGAATACGACGTGAATTCCATAATTTCTGTCAAACGTTATACATTTTACCTCTGCGACGATCGTGTTTATTCGCAGGAAACGGTCGGTCACGAGGCGAGAAGGTCCGCCTGTCTCGTTGAAAATGTTTTCTCAAGTCTGTATCGCGACCTCTCGTCTTCTCTCCTCGACCAGGCGAAACCGAACGACTAGATCGCCTTGGCCGAGCAGGAAAACAGTCTGATCTCATCTCGCAAATATGAACGTTCCTCTCCTCGTTAACGTTACCTCTCTCGCGGACGAGTACCGGAATTTCGATGAAAATCACTCATCGCGTCGTCTACACGAGTCGATTTGAAATTATGCACGAATATACTTTAGAGATCTGAGAAACCGATGGAAAACCGTGATCTCGTTCGAGAGCCACTCACTGTTCGTCCGACGATGGATTCGTCGGTTTGACGTACGCGTAACGAGTCTCGTTACGAAACGTTGCGCTCGAACGTTTCGTGAGGTAACCGGTGTTTAAAAGCGGTGCAGCGAAACATTGTAAAATTACGACGAAGCCGATTGAAATGCTGCGCGGAGATGTTTCCAAGATTTCACCGGGAAATTATTTGGTCGTTGACCCGATACGAGCGAAATAGAGAGATACGCGCGTGTGTCATTGAACTGCCACGGTAGGAATTATGTCACGTGCTCCTACCCGACCCGATCGTTTCGCAATTCTCGTCTTTATCGTAACAAACGTTTAAACGATCGAACTACGAAACGACTTCGTGAACCGACCGTCGCACTTTCTTGGAATTTCCTGCTATTACAAATCGGAACCTCGAGCCGATCATTGTAAGAGGCAGCTAGACCAAGTGGCAAACCGAAGAACGCGCTTACTTCCAAGAGTGGAAGCACTCTAGAGAGGAAGGTAATTCCTGTAAAACGGCTGCTTCTAACGGGCTTCGACACCCACTTCGTCGTTTCCTACACGGAGGAACCAAGTAGACGCGTCCGAAAGGAGCGTCGTCAGATCGTCAGATTCTACACTTACTCGACTGCCGAAAGCGGCGAGTCGAATAGGTAACGCGATACGAACGACGAATCGAGAAATTGTTCCAACAGATTTTTGAATCTCGCCGGTCGCCCGAGGACGAGAGCGAAGACTCCGGCACATCTCAAAAGACGTGCTCAGCTTTATGGACCGAGACAGAGCGGACAGGGATGATTACGCGCTCCCTGAAACGTAAGGACCCGCTGTCATCCTTGACGCAGTTCCTGTCCATGTAACGATAGTACCGAGATAACCAAGTATCGCATCCGTTTCGCCACGAAGCACTCGCTCGCTCATGGTAGCAGAGACCCTCGGCTGTTCATCGCGTTCGCGAATGAGCTTCGATCGCGGATTTTCGCTATACCGTTTATCGTCCCACTTGCAAAATCAATTTTACTATACTCCTCTGCCTCAGACGTTACTTCATATTATCCACGATTTCTTATTCATTTCTTTTCCATGCAACATGGTCCAAACACTTTACGATACGCGTAGAATTCGTGTCGATGAGGCGAGTAAAGATACGTTTGCATAAAATCGATTATTTCGGACGATGCCGAATCAGTGACTGGAAATGTAACGCGTAATCAATTTTTCAATTGACGTATAAAGGTGGAACAATGGTCTCGGAAAGGTTGCATGCAAAGCAGCCGTGAAAGGTGTGCGCGGTTGACGTAACGCGAGAAAGAAAGAATTCTTGTAACGCAAAGTGTAACGGGCGACAGGTAGAACCGCAGAAAAATTCGACCCGATAACCGCGAGAGAATATCAATGAGCCGGCGCTCCGGTTACGAACGGTCATTCGTCGTCATTGCGACACCTACTACTGGCAAATAGTTTTCCGTCAAACACCATACATGGCACGAGACAAACGAAACGCATCAGGGTGCAACATCCAAAATGCGTGTCCGATCCGAAGTTTCGTCGTGAAATAAGGACGAATCGTTTTCCTATTCGTCACTCGATACCTGATATTACTGCACGTAAGTACGTAGAGAGAAACGTAATGTATGAATCGCGACGAGACTAGCAACGAAACAAACGAGCGGACCGCCGCGTGGAGAACAGATCCGCGAGAACGTAACGAATGCCCAGAGTCGTTAGTGCCTGGAGCACAGCACCGAAAATTGCCGACGCTAACTTTATCACCGTGATCTCTCGTGAAACTGTTGATTACCGTCGGTTACGGTTTAAACAGGTACACGGATAGGGTAAACAGATGATGGGAATTGGCTCGCGGATTACCCTACCGAATTCACCGCGATCCCTATTAGCCCTCTGTACATCAAATGTTTTCTTCAAACGAACCAGACACATTTATTCATTGCGAACGTTCCTCAACAAAGATCGCAAATCCCGTTTCATGATAAAACTTCCAGCACAAACCGATCATACTAAATCAGTCTACGTTTCCAATAAATAATCATGCGATTCTAATGAAATTGCAGTCTTGCCCCTACCGTTTCTCTTGTTTTCGCGTGCACTGCCAAGATTCGTAATACAACGTGACACGAATTCGGTTGTTCGACCACGAGTCGACAGGATTTCTGCGGCGTAAAAGCAGACGAATTATTTAATATGCGGTCTGGGTCGTCGGTGACCCACAGAGTACTTTCCATTCGATCGGATCGACGTCGTATCGACACCGGTATCTGGCATAATTTAATCGATTCGAGCCGCGGAATTTGACCAGAGAATTTCTGTTGCGTCCCATCGAATTCGTAATCGCCGCCTCGTACGATCGTTCTCTTAACGCGCGTCTTTACGTATCGATCGGAGCCAAAGAACGTTTTACCTACGTTCCACGTGCGAAACGCGACCGATGGACGAAAAAAGTGGTGGAAGTTATGGTGTCGCGACCTCGTTCGTACGTACCCGATTCGTTCGCGACGCGCACGAGAATGCTCGCGGGCATTTTTCGTCCTTCCGACGGACCGATCGTCGTCGGAATAACGAACGATCGAACGCGACCGGCGTGATTACTCATTCGGATATTAATTAACCATGATCTCGCGAACGCTCCTATCTTATTATTTATATCTCCCATCGTCAAACGCTTTCTTTCGTCTCTCGTAACTTGATCAAAATTCTGATGTGGGTCAGCCGTTCGACGAACAAAGTGCGACGCATAAAGAGAAATGAAACTACTGCGCGTTCTCTAACAACGTCGGGCTCGGCAATAAGAAATTGTCTTATCGCGTAATCGCGACGGCAGACCCGTGAAATACCGAGCGATAAGTCGGAACGGATAAGCGTTCTATCGCGGAACGTTGTCGGTATTCCTTTCACTAAAGCGGTTCTCAAAGGCGCAAAAGGCGCGAGTACGCCGAGGTCTGATGCCTGACGTGAGAAACGGTTCTTTACACGCTCGAGAACCTCGCTTCTCCGATACAGTTTTATCGTGGCGCGAGCCACCTGCTATGTACACGTCCCCGGGGGGGATGAGAACGACAAAGTCATAAAGCTGGGACTTACCGTTCTGATGTCGCCGCTTCTGTTCTAAAACGATCTCGCCTAGATAGCAAACGTTCCTCTTGGCGAAGGACACCCCGATCTCGTTCACGGTCCTCACGTTCGTCAGGTAAACGCTGTTAACACAGAGATTTACCTGCTATAGGAACGTGACTTCCCCCATATTTTCGAGATTCGCCACGATCTCTATTTTCATTTTTCAACTATTTCCGTTTGTCACCTCGATCTTCCAGAATTGGAAGACCCGCTGGTGATTCGCAAGGATTTAACTCGAGCTTATCGCGCTCGGAACAGACAGCTCCCAAGAGCATGACAGCCGTTCTATCGTCTCAAAAGTTGTATTCTCTCGAGAGTCGCCTGATTTTAACGTCCGTTATCGTATCGGACAGTTAGTAAACTATACGTATGTCTCTACTTGTCGGAATTACGTTTTCGTCGACTACTGTTAAGTAAATTATCCAGCAAACGATATTGTCACTCACCTCTTTTTCCACTTGAAACCGAGACTCTCCGATCTGTAAGGGACGACGAATTTCAACCCAGCGTCGTTGCCCAGGACGAGGACCGGTTCGCTCCGGGTTGCGTTCGCCACGGATGACTCTAGTTCCATGTACACGATCGTTGCCTCGACGTCTCTTTCGAACTCGACGTGAACCAGAAATAATCTGTAACGAATTAAACGTCACATGGTCAAGTTACAAAGTCGAACGAAAGGTTTACGATTCGCGAACGAATCATTTCTTACCTATGGTACGTGTTGAGGTCGTTCGTGATCAACTTCAAACAGCCGCCACCCTCGAACGAGAGGTCCTTGCAGAAGTCGAAGTAGTTCACGTCCAGCATCGGCATCTTATCTTCAAGGGCGACGACATTCTCGAGTATCCTAATGACATTTTTCCTCGTTTCGTAAACGTAATATTGAGTGGGTTTCCTCGGACACTCGTTCCTGTCGTCCTCGCTCTTCGGTTCAGGAATTTCCGGTCGATAGGTGAACTTCAAGTGTGGTATAGGCACGGAGATCTGCGGCTTTTGCATCGACAAATTGTAGAACGGCTTCTCTTCGTACACGTTTCTCCCTTCGACGACGCGCATGTCCAATTGTATCTTCGCAACACGTCAACGCGACGATATGAAGTTGTAACAAATCATGATAACGCGTTTTAAACAGTTTAATGTACCTCGCCACAGCGGTAATAGGCGCTACCACTCCCGCGGCAGAACGATGTCTTGAACGTTTCCTCCTCGTAAATGGGTACGTGAACGTACAGATAAGGGAAGAGTTGAGCCCAAAATATGTCTTCCAATTGGTGGAACGTTTTGGCTCCGAAATACTCGTGTGTCCAACCGGGCGCGAAAATCGCGACCGACAGTTCCTCTCGCCGCATTCTTTCTAACGCCTGTAATTCAGTTTTCGTCGAGCGTCTCATCGAATCAACGAAGGACGCGACGAATGATACTTACGTATGTCGAATTGAATCCACCGCCTCCGGGACAACCTCTTCCCCAAACGTCTAGTCCTGCGTACACATCGTGCACGCTTCTGTTGTGACTTTTGGCGAGCGCGCGACTGTTCTGTAATTTCGTTTTGGTCCAATTGTAATTCAAGTAAATACCGTCGCAGTTCAGGAAGAAGTCTCTGAAATGTTCGATTCCTATTGAAACGGTGTACGAAAGGAGGTGATTGAAAAGCAGCAAACAGAGACCTGACTTACACGTTCTTATCGTTAAGTTCATTCTGCCAGTTCAATACACCCTCGCTGGTCACGCTGTCGTACCATATTATCTCAGAGTCTCTAATCGCTTGGTGAATATTCTCTGTCAGATATTTCACGAAATAAAGTAGATTATTAATCTGCTCGCGTTGGATCACGTTCTCGACGTTTAATAACCATCCATCGAACTTATAAAATTTCGCAACCAGAATTAGCGCGTCTGCAAACCTTCTTGCCTCCTCTTGAGATTCGAGTATAGGATCCCAAATACCTTCCCTTTCGGTGATCACGGTTCCAAGAACTTTGACACCGTGATCGTGCGCCGCGTTGATCCATCCGAAAGGTGGTATCGTTACAAAGTGGTGGCTGAAGTAAACGAACGTGTCTATGACGCTCCAGTGGTAAAACAAATAAGAATTGTAGGCCTTGGATCCATAAATGAATCTGGAAAGCAGAATCGTGCCGCGTTTCATGTACAACGTATGATATACTGAATGGAACGTTCGACAAATACCTGTCTTCCAAGTATCCACCTATCATATCGTGACAGACCAATGTTCTCGGATTATCTTGCCTGTCGATTTTGTTCAACTGCACTTGTTGCAAGTTTACCTCGGAACCTCGGTATACGTAATCGGTCGACTCCCTGAGCCGCTTGACGCTCGGCCACGGTTTCAAATTGCCCACATTGTCGTACAGTTCTTTCAGGCTCTTGAAAGGTTGCGCTTCCGCGACAGTAGCCATCGCGACTCGCACTGTTCCACGAACGGTTTAGAAATACTTTCCGATTAAATAGCCGATCCGAACAAAGCTTTTCCGTTCGCATCACAGGAAAAACCGTGACAATTTAGAGCATCTATCGCGATTGATAAGCGAGCCGGAACTCTCGCTATCAGTTTCTATTCGACCATGGACAACCGTTACCGCCGATAACGTAACGAGTACACGTTTCTCGTTATCTACACGATTACGAACATATCAAATTCTTACGTACGATGTGCGTTTGAACGTTGTTAAAATAGATATGACGAAACTATGACTTCACAACGCGTACGGCATATGCATGTGCGCGTAACCTGTCTGCCAGCCTCTCGAAGTGATTTACTTGTACGCGAAAATTTATTGACAGACCCGTAACGATTTCACGATCATTTAATTGACGGTCGAAGACGCTTCGAATCAAGTTAAATTTCGACAAAAACACTGGATACTCGACACTGATTTACAGCATTTCCAAAGCCGGCTACGCGATCGAACGCGATTTCACAATCACAAGATGGAGTTACAAGATGGCGACGTGGGACGCGCATGCGTAGAACGCATGTACAGACTGGGAGCTATGTTCGAATCAAAATAAAGTGAAATAAGTTCGTGAATACGTAAGTAATTCCACGCATCATACGATTCATGTTTCAACAAATATGCGTTAACAATTAAAATTAAGTTAGTTGCAATCCGTGTTGCGCAACAGAGTGTGATGCGCAGCGTTTTCGTTTGACTTTTTGTACTTACTATTTCCAATACGAACGAATTACTTACTCCTCGTTTAAAATTATATGTTAAAACAAAATTGCTCTGGGGCGCTCGCTACTCGCGACTCAACACAGCTGTTTATAACAAAGGATTTACTCAACAGAAAATTCGTCTTCGTAAAGTCTACGTCTCGTATAAAGTGTAGAAGCAGGGCAATATTGAAATGAGGTACGTATCGTAAGATCTTCCTTTATTTAGCGTACAACCCTTGTTAAGAAGACGGGAGATCCCACGGGTACAAGACAGATACAACGGCGCGTGTGTGGGATGATTGGAAGACGTACGAGATCGTTACGCAAACTGTAAGCAGAAGGTACAACGAAAGAACTAACTGCAGCGATGGTCCCGCGTGATCTCGTCATGATCCCACTACTTCCTCTTCCCTCAATTTCTCCCTTAATTCTGTAAGTGATTCGCTACGAAGACTGCAGATTTTCATGCGAAATAAAAGCTTTTCTAACGTCGATCTCACAGGCGAACGTAAATTGAGAACATTTTCAGCAATGACGATGCACGTTATTGTACGCTGTACGCGTTTTTACAATTTCTAGAAACAGGTAAATCTCCAGGAATCTGCAGCCTCGTTGAATTTAAAAATAATTCCCTCTGCTCGTTGTTCGAGATCATCCCTGCCGCTCGGCCATTGCTTCTAAAAACAGTGATCGAGTCAACGAAAACATCCGTCGTCGATCCTTTTGGTTGATCGTTGCGAGAACAGTGTAGATTTTCTATCAGGGTATACACGCGTGTACCTAGAATTGAACGAAGATTCGTGTGGATCTCTCGGGGGAGCGAATCTCGCGAATAGGATGTCGTATCTTCTATGTATTGTAAAATCTTTAGACAAAGTTATCATTTTTTTTTATATATGTTCGAATGTATATATCACATTGTATCTCTACCTATCTATGCGACTAACTATATACGAACAATATTAACTCGTCCGCCGTTAAAGTATATGTACTTACAACCCTTCGTTCTTTTCTCGTTACCAGTAGAATCGGTGCTACATCGATAAGATCGGTTACTATTTGTACGTTCAGATAGATTCCATTTACGATCAAGTATTTATACATAGAAGTATTCCGTCGTGTTTGGAAGATAGATGGCTAGATTTCAAGTTGAAACTCATCGTTCACCGGTTGCGGTTTAATGCATATCGCAGAATTTTGTGTTTTCACTTTTCATTCAAACAACGTTTGAAGGCTATATTAAATTGCTACAAGTTTTATTTCGCGCAGGATCGCGCGATCTAATTGTAAACGTACAACGAATGAAATCCATCTATCTTCCAAAGTTGCAGCCAGGTATTCACGGATTAACAGAATTTGCTGTAATTTTCTCCTTGAAATCGTTCCCAGTTTCTCTACGATTTTGATTATCGTTTAAACGTCGCGATTACACGGGGAAAACGTATCGTAAAACGAAGAGGCGTATCGACAAATGGTGGGGAACAGGTTTGAAACGGTCGGGTATATCCTACTCCTATGTATAATCATTTGTAAAGTGTTACATTTTATACGTCTTCTCTTGATATTTGGTTCTTCGCGTACATGTATATTATATACGAATATATACCGTGTAATACTATAGGTGTATTAATCGATTACGTTGTATTCACGTCGATCCGTACATACACAATTCTTGCTCGCATCTGTTTAAGGGGGTCGGGGGAGATACACATACAGTACGTATAGTCAGGGATCGAGAATTCAGGCTATCATTATTAAGGATGTATTCGCTATACAGTCAATCCCAAAAGTTTATGTACTTTAGAAACGCATTTTTTAAAAAGAAATGAGACGTCGGAAGAACATTGCTACTAATAAACAACAAAAAAAAATTTTCGATTTTTCCAAGGGGTACCCCTTCAATTTCTTCCAAATTTTCGTTTTTGGCCAATAATTTCCAAACCGTTGATTCTACGGGAAAATTGCATATAACCTTTTTTGTAGAGGACGACGAGAGCTACAATTTCTATATAAAAGTTTTTCGTTAGCGTCAGTAGTTAACGAGTAATTTGCAAAAAACTGTTTTTTCGTTTTTCATCAATAACTCGTTAAATATTAATGCTAGCGACAAACTTTTATACAGAAGTTATAGATCTCGTCGT